GATGGGCCGACCCTACTTGGCGGGCTGCAGGGGGCCGAGGCGCTTTCTGGGCGCTGGGAAGGGTCGGTTCCAGGGCTGATTCTCGCACACCGGCGCTCGGGTCCTCAGGGCTGCAGGTATGGTGGGAACCGCCGGCGCAAAGACCACAGCGTGGGATTGGGGCGGGGGCGCTGGGCTTCTCTCCTGCACACAGCCGACCTCTCCATAGGGAACCGGGGCCTGGCTTTGCATCTAACACGAAGCTCTGGGTCCACCCACTGCTGGAAATGAATCTGGGGTAACTCGCTGACCTGCCGAGAACTGGCCTTGGTTTGGTGGTGGTGGTGGGGGCGACAGCGACAACGGTTCCGAACCCTACAAAAACTTTGTTTTGTTTTGCTTTAAATCACTAAATTCGTGCAGTCAGTCCCAGCTCCCCCACACCTGTGGGAAGAAAGGGCCCGCTGGTCCGCACAGGTCATTTGTTGGTAGGCTGATGCCTCGGTGTCCTCGGTGTGACTGCTCATCTCCAGATTTGTTCTTTTAGGAAAGCAGGGTTTTGAACCAATGCACAGCGCGTTTTTTCCAACTTATGGACCCCACTCTTGTCTGCTGCTGAGGACAGTGTCTCACCCACCGTGGGAAAAGGACTACCTTTTGTTGAGTTACCTGTTTAATTCTCCCAAGGACTCAGCAAAACAGGTGTTCTCGGTTTACAGATGAGGAATTTGCCCAGAGGTGAACTTTTGTAGGGCTGGCTCCCAGGGTAAGCTCCAAAGCCTGTCACCGCTGCAGCTCGCTGCAGTTTTCCAAGTACTAGAATTTTTGTTTGTTCATTTTGTGGTATTGAGAATCAACTTCTGAATTCCCAGCGTCCTAGGCCGAAGCTCTACCCCCAAGTGACACTTCCAACCCTACAAAATGATATATCAAACTTTTTTTTTCTTCATTATTTTAGCAGATATGTGGGTTAAAGGAATCAGTACATTTGGACTGATTTCAGACCAGACATTTTTGTCTGGAGCGCGGTCAGTGGAACACGGATGAGTTGTTAAAATGCAGATTCCTGGGCCTCCCCTAGATTTGCTGAGTAAGATTCTCAGGAGTGGTACCCAGGAAACTGCAGACTTGCAAACTACAGTACCCCACAGAGGGCCTTCTTTTATCTTATTAAATAACAGGTCTGGGATTTTTTTGTTCTTCTTGTTGTTTTGTTTTGATTAGCCAAAAGTCTGTCTACAAAACAAAACAAAATGCATTCTGGAAATTTGAAGAAAAATGTGTCATAACCATTATTGAAGCTTGAAAAAAATAGGATACATTTTTTCTCACTTTTAATATAAATAAAATCCTAATCTCTTGGCACGGGCTGCTGGCTTCTGGTTGAGTAAGAGCTTGCCTGGGGCTTTGTCTGTCCAGGCACTGCCACGAATAGATCTTTGATTCCTAGAAGACCATCTCCCGGAAACATTTTAAAGATGTGAAGCAGCCTGGCCTTCTCCACTTGAGAGTCCAGCAGCACCAGACTCAATGCTCAGGATTTGAACTTAATCTTTTGAGGCTTGTTCCTCCAGAGCTGCTGTTTGCCATAGAACAAGCTGGTCAGCCTCCTACATCTTCGGGTTTTAATCTGTTAAGTAGGAATAATAGCTGTGGCATACTTTAAAGCTTTGGCAGAGTAAGTGAGTTCGGGGTACAATCTGTAAATTAGCTCGCATGTGGTTGGATTTAGTAAATGTTCTGCCCTTTTTTGGAGCTTTATAGTCCTGTATTAATGAGTTTCTCTTGTCAGTTTGCCACTAACAAGAGCTAAGATATTTGAGAATAAAACTAATCACTTTGAAGTCAGGCGGCGGTGCATGTCCCTAATTCCAGCACTGGGAGGCAGAGGCAGGCGGATCTCTGGTCTGTAGAGCGAGTTCCAGGACAGCCAGGGATATACAAAGAAACCTTGTCTCAAAAAGCAAAACAAGGGGCTGGAGAGATGGCTCAGTGGTTAAGAGCATTGCCTGCTCTTCTAAAGGTCCTGAGTTCAATTCCCAGCAACCACATGGTGGCTCACAACCATCTGTAATGAGGTCTGGTGCCCTCTTCTGGCCTGCAGACATACACACAGACTATTGTATACATAATAAATAATTTTTTTCAAAAAAAAAGGCAAAACAAAACAAAAAACAATCAAGTTGAAATCACTGGCTTTTGTTGTTGCTTTTTTTTTAAGATAGGGTCTCGTGTGACTTAGTCTAATTTAGAACTCACTATGTAGCTGTGGATGGCCTTAAACTCAGAATCCTCCTGTCTCCAAAGTGGCATTCTAGACAAGTACCACCAAGTGTGGCTGTAGGAGGAACTTTAAACAGACAATTCCATTAAAAAGGTTTCTATACGATATAACTGATTTCCGTATGATAATGTTAGCACTATGATGCCAATGAGAAGGATGCTTGAAATGTTGTCACTCATTGTGCCTAAAAGAAAGTTCAAGAAAGATACTGTTGTTTTAAACTGTATTTTGGATAACATTCAATTTATAAAAAATTGCCGTGGAACCATGTCTGTCTTTTCTTCCTTCCTTCTTTTCCTTCCTCCCTTCCTTCTGCTTTTCTGTCTCCTCTCAGTTGTCTGAGAGTTTATTGCATGTGTATTCCCTTTAGTTGGCTTCCAAGCGTTTTGTTGTGTATGGCACAGGTGAACCACCAGCCTAGTGAATGTGGGTGTTTCTGATGTGACTTTGAACTGCAGGAAATTTTACACTGGTGTGGTCATGTCTATAATCTGAAGCTGCTCTCCAGCCCCGGCAGGTGCCCTGACAGTGTGTTTGGAGCCAGCACAGAATGGCCAGTCAGTTAGGTTTGAGAACGGGTCTCCAATTTTTTTCCATGACAACGACATTTTGAAGATTATAAAGCTTCAATTTTGTTTGTTGTTTCCCCAAGACTCGTTTCAAAACCAACATTTGTGACTAGGATACTACAAAAAAGGGTGTGTGATGTGTCCAGACAATTTAGAAGAACCTGACATTTGTTTGCCCCTTCCTGGTGACCTTGACTTTGAAGGCCAAGTTGTCCTTTCTCCAGTGTGTAGTCATTTCTTTTATTTTCATTTTTGTAATTAACATGTAATATTTAATAGTTAATTTAAAACGGTGCAAATGCTCTGATCATCTCAACCCCATTGTCATGGCCAGCATTATCTACTGGTTAGCTTTTTTTTTTTTTTTTTTTTTTTTTTGAAGCAGGGTCTGTAGTCCTGCGGGCCTGGAATTCTCTATGTAAAGCATGCTGGGGTTAAAGGCCTGCACTACCCGCATCTGAAAAAGATTCTTTCTTTCTTTCTTTCTTTCTTTCTTTCTTTCTTTCTTTCTTTCTTTCTTTCTTTCTTTCTTTCTTTCTTTCTTTCTTTCTTTCTGTGTCATTTTTCTGGTTCTTAAAATTTGACATCTGCCGAGGAAGAGCTTTCTCCTCTTCCCCCTCATATACGTCAGGGCTGTGGGCTTCCAGTTCTTGCTTGAGTCAATGGATTATAGTGTGTTGGTGTGCTGACTAATTTTGATACTGAAGTGCCTGGTTGGGCGGGCTGCCCTTCCCTGGCTCCTTTGATTTGTTAGCATCGCCCGCCCCCCTCCCCCTTGTTCAGGACCTCCTTGCTTTGCCAGCTGTCTCCCACCCCCATCTGTAAACACTGACATTCCTAAGGCTTTAGGATTAGGGGCAGCAGAAGAGAGTTTTGAAGAATCTAGTCTGCTGAAAAAACTGTAGTGTGAATACTAATTTTGTTGCTTTGAATTCTGCTCCGACTTTATACTGTATTTACTTAGCGAATTTGTGGGTTTTAAGTAAGTCCTGGACTTTAAAGGAAATTTGGCAGGAGATTGCCTCACCGTTACCTTTCTCCAGTTGTTAATTTAATTTCAATTTGTTTAAATGAGCAAACGCTTCCTCATTTTTTCACGAGCCTCATCCCGTGCATCCAAGTACCAGGGACTGTAAGGGGTAGCGAGGAGGATTACTTCTCTGTCATGAAGGTCTCCCTGTGGATAGCCTTGGGTGCACTGGAACTTGCAGACTAGACAGGCTGGCTTTAAACTCCCAGAGATCTCCCTTTGTCTCTGCAGTGTTGGGCTTAATGGCATGTGTCAACACACCTGGCAAGATTTTTAAAAATTAAATTTGATTAAGGAACTTAATGCCTATAGTATTTTATACCTGTCTTTAGGACCATTGTGAAGTAACCACCACCGTGAGTCTTGATGACAGTTGGGCTAGGGATCGTTTCCACACCTAACAATGTGTTAATGGAAATCCCCAATAGTTCTTCACTTCTCAGGCAGGGGATTCCAGTCTCTGACCAGTTGGCGTTGCTATGTGTTCCTCATGATATTCTTTTTTATTAGCTTTTTGCCTCTAATTTTTTCATAATGTTTAAAACATTTTATCACATCTATTAATCTGCTTTGTGTGTGCATACATGTACATGCACGTAGAGGTCTGAGGACAACCTGAGGGAGTCAGGTCTCTCCCTTGTACCATGTGGGTCCCAGGGAATGAACCCAGGTCCTCCAGGTGGCGGTGAGTGAGTTTACCAGAGTTTACCAGCTGAGCCATCTCACCATCCACCCCAAATTAACTTAATGGGCTCTATTTGATGTCCTCATTTCCCGGCTTGGTATTTTTGCTGCAGACGTTATGAACGGGTTTTATATCTGATTAAATAAAATTAGTTCTTGATAAGGCTGGCAGTCCTTTCAACGTCACTAAGAGCCAGGAGATAGTGAATTGTCCTCTGAGAGTGGCTGAGCTTCTTTGGGGAACAAAGGGAAAGGATCCTGAGCAGTTGGGAGGAGTCCCCGCGGAGATGGCTTGCTGAGCGCCCCATCCCTGTTTACACTGGATGTTTGATCCCATCTCCTGGTGGTCCCCAGTCCTGAGATCCCTGGCCCTCCAGGAATGCTGCTTCCTGGTTCCCAGTGTAAAGCGTCCTCTTTTCACGAAGTTGCTAATGGGTCTTCCTTTCCCTTCCAGACATGACACTCCTCTCTTCTCAGTCTTCATCCCTGGTGGCCCCCTCAGGGTCTGTGTCCCCTGAAAAGCCGGAGCAGAGGATGCTGGAGAAGAGAGCCAAGGTGGTGGCTGAACTCGTGCAGACGGAAAAAGACTACATTCGGGATCTGGAGATGTGCATTGAGCGGGTCATGGTGCCCCTGCAGCAGGCACAGGTGAGAGATGGGAGGCCACGTGACCCTTTAGGTCTGAAATGCTGGGGTTGGAGCACTGTGCCGTCTACTGCAGTACTACAGTTGCAGGCTGAGTGGCTTAGTGGCGAAGGAACAAAGACTCAGCATAAAGGACAGACTTACTGGGGCAGTTTCAGGTTTTAGCTTGTGGTTGGTTGGCACTGTCGCTTCTGAGCCTGTGGCAAAGCAGCGAATCATTATGCAGAGATTATGCAGTAGAACCAAACTGTTCCCTTCTGGCACCCAGGAAGCAGCTTGAGGAGGGGCCTGACTTCCTCCAGGTAGTCCCTACCTGCTGAGAGACCCACCTCCTGGTAACTCTACAGGCCTTTAACACGTGACCCCCCGGGGTGGGGGTACTCTGGAGATAGACTACACCCTAGGGACAAAGGATGACAGCAGAGATGAACGGAGGTGGGAATGGGTGAAGAGGATGACCTCTGACCTCGGAGTCACACGCCTGCTGTGAGTGAGGTTTCATTCCTTTCATCTCTGTGCATCTTGACGCTTTCTTTCTCTTGCTCAGGTACCCAACGTTGATTTCGAGGGACTTTTCGGAAATATGCAGACAGTGATTAAAGTCTCAAAGCAATTGTTGGCAGCCTTGGAAATCAGCGACGCTGTAGGTATGAGCTTGTGCAGCTGTTTCTGTCATGGGTGTGGTGGGAGAGGGGTCCTTTGGTGGCCAGGACCCCTCTAGGGAATGACATTTTACATGGTGCAGGGTTTGTGGAGGCCCTGCTTTCTCTCTTACTTCAGTCTGCTTTGATGTGGTTATTGTATTAGTAGAAGTTTTGGGTATCATAGACAGGATGGTTTTCAGGCTGGAGGGTCATGAGGTCAACTTAGTGGAGCGCATTCAGTATTTATTTTTCAATAAAACAAATGGAAAAGTATCAGAATATGCTATGGCAACAGCTACTTTATATTTATTTATTTATTTTTAGAAGCTTTTATTTCAGTTCTGAGTTATGTGTCCCAGTGGTGACTATAGTGTATTTGCTGCTAGGATGTAGTACACACCTGGAAGTCACAAGAATATCAGAAGTTCAAGGTCATCCTCAGCTACTTAGCAAGTGGGAGGCCAGCCTGGGCTACAGGAAACCCTGTCTCAAATTTTTAAATCTTTTTGTGGATAATTGTGAAAAATATTCAAGCCAGGCAGTGGTGGCACACACCTTTCTTTAATCCCAGGACTTGAGCGGCAGAGACAGGCAACAGGCAGATCTCTGAGAGTTCAAGGCCAGCCTGGTCTACAAAGTGAGTGCCAGGACAGGCTCCAAAGCTACAGAGAAACCCTGTCTTGGAAAAAGTAAAAAGAAAAAGAAAAAAAAAAAATGAAAAACTTCAGAAAACATTCATCTGATTCTTTTAACCAAGGGGACTTACCCATTACCTCTTGCCCCATGTAAGTGGACACTTAGCAATCAGTAAGCATACTTTAGTCAGTAAACATATGTCTCTAGGTTCTGTGAGTAGGGACTGTAAGGGGCTAGGACAGGCGGCTGTAGCTTAGGGGTTGGAGCTGGACTGTTGGCCTGGCCGGGTCTCAGGCTCCATGCCTTGTCACGGAAGCCTCTCTGGACTCTCCTTATAGTACATGAGTCCAGAGTCACCAGAGGGAGCCAAGGGTGGGAGAAAACCTGGGACAGGAGGACCTCAGAAGGGTCCCTCCATCCCTTCTGCCTTACTCTGTAGGGATGTCGTGAGAGGGGCTGTACCATAATATCGCTGTTTTAGTAGAATCCTAAAGAAGCCCTTCACAGTTGCAGCTGTCCAGGTAAACTCAGCACCATCTAGCAACGTGCCCCTCTGTCATCTTAAGAGTGTCATTTTAGCTGGGCGGGGGCATCCCTGCAGTCCTAGCACTTAGAAGCAGAGGCAGGAGGATGGAAGCAGGTTTCAGGCCAGCCTGGTCTGCATAGTGAGTTCCAGGCCAGCCAGAGCTACACAGCGAGACCCTGTTTCAAACAAGTAAGAGTGCCATTTTAAGTTTGCAGACCTTTTCCAGAAACCATCTGGTTTGGTTTCTCTTTGTTGCTGTCTGCTGCTGGTTGCCTGTGCCTAGACTGGATACTAGAGAGAGTGGGATCATATTCTGCAGTTCCCTCACGTCCTAAGGCTGACATCAAAGCAGAGTCAGGGCCTGCCTTCCTCGGGTGAAACCGCGCACGTGCAGCCGGGCTGGATCTCAGAGGGTTCCCCTGTGAGCCTAGATGGTCTAACCTTGTTTACACAGGAGAAACGGACAGTGGGAAGGAAGTTTGCCCATGGTCACGTGGCTCGTAGCCCAAACTCGGGTCTTTGTCATTCAGGCTCTCGGCTAAACTCTGTCGTGCAGAACACTAGCTAGCACTGCTCCTGTCTTAGAGCAGTTGGAAAGCCAGGGACCTTGCTGCTAGGGAGATGAGAAGGCACTCATGTGAGTATGGTGCCCAGCCTGGATTCAGTAATCAGGCGTGAAGGCTGGTGTCTGTAAGATCTTGCCATGAATTTGAAGTACCTGCAGGTGTTTTTTTGAATTAGGAAAAAGATGAGATATTTAGCTCATCTAAGGAGGATTAATACTCATTTTTCTTCTACTTTGTTTCATTATGTGTTATGTTTGGGCCCTCAGGTGGACCTCACTTCACCAGAGTGACTTCCCCTCTGCTCCCGTTTATGCCAAAGATTATAAAGCGTCTTTTTCTGCCTGCCAGCCCGCTCTCAAATAACAACACAGAGACTTCTTATTAATCATGAAAGCTTGGCCTTACCTAAGGCTTGTTTCTGACTAGCTCTTATAATGTAAATTAATCCATTCCTATTAATCTATAGATTCATAGATATAGTGGCTTGTAGCTTTTCCCTCTCCTCCTGCGTGTCTTGCTTCCTCTGTGTGATGCTGGTGACCCTGCTCTTTTCCCTCCCAGAGTTCTCTGTCCCCAAAAGTCCCGACTAACCTCTTCTTGCGCAGCTATTGGCCATTCAGCTCTTTAGTAAGCCCATCACAGTGATGCATCTTGCCAGGTGTAAAGGAATGTTCTGTGACAAGAGGTGTTTTAGGTCCCAGCTGGTGTTTGGGGCTTAATGGACAGCACCCTCAGGAGATGGACAGTGGGAGCATGGGGTGACATGGGAGACACAATCAGGGCTCAGATGGCCACCTGATCAAGAGGGTCCCCATACAAGTAGCTTCTCAGAGAAAGGAGTCTTCTCCCTTTCCTGGCTGCATCAGGTGAGGACAGTGAGGTGTCCCTTTGTGAACTGGGGCATTTAAGGAGTTCCTGCAGGGGGGAGCTTTGTTCTAAGGTTTGTGAGAATTGCTGTAGGGCTGAGGTCGTTTTTTGTCTCCTAGAACTTTCCAGGTCAGGATGTCACACTCTGAAGTGACAGGTGTGGCCCACGGGGTGTTTGAGTGGACCTCTGAGCTATAATTAGTCTAACACTGTCTCTTAGAGTATGTGAGGAATTACTATAGCCTCAGCCCCACCTTCACACGGTATTGTCTGTGTTTATAGTTCTTCCTTTCATTCTTATTGTAAATCAGACAAAAAGTTAGGTGATGGACTTCGATGTGCTGAAGGTGTTTATGGGAAAGTAGAATGACCTTGGAGATAGAAAGGCTCAGATCCAGGCAGGAGGTCCAGCCTTAAGGAAGAGGGTTGGTGGAAGGTGGCAGTGATGTGGGAGGGAGCAGGAGCATGAAAGCAAGACGGGACAGTAGCCCCAGTGACAGTGGTAGGAAGTAAGTGGAAAGAGATTGGGCATCCCATGAAGGAAGGGTCTTTGAGGCTAAGAGAGGTAAATTAAAGCGTCGTGAAGCCATTAACACAGGGAAGGAATGAAGGAATGAGGAAAATTTGTTTAATAATTCAGAGAGTTGAGGTGGCTGCTCCAAAAGAAACCCGTGGGCAGGAGAGATGGCATCAGCGTTTGGATCACTCCTGTTCAGCTCCTAGGGCTCCTGCCAGGTGCTTTACAACTGTGTGTACTCCAGCTCCAGGGGATCTGATGCCCTCTTCTGTCCTCTGTGAGGACCAGAATATGCCCACACACATAAATAAAATAAAATATCATTGTGTGGAACTCAACTTCAGGGTCAGTGCTGTGCCTCACTGGCTGTAAACCCTTGGTCTGTGGATAGATTGCCTAGAGTCTGTGAATTTGGATAGAAAAGAAACATGGCGTCTTTGTTTACTTCGGCTGACACCGGCTGAACTGTGACATTCACTGGCAGTGTGACTGTAGGGAGACAACACCCGGTTAATGTGTCACTAACTGGCGCGTCTGTTCATTTCTCCTTAGACTGTTTCATTTGCCTTGAATTTCCACTCAGAGTCCCACTCAGCAGACATAAATGCTGTTTTAGTTGCTCACCTTTATCACAGAGTGCACGTGTGGAGATGGCCAAGCTCGATGCTCATCCTGTGATCTGTAACGAAGCACAAGTGAGGGGCTGGAGTGATGGCTGCGGTAGCGAGCACTTGTTTCTGTGCACAGAGGACCTGGGTTTGATTCCCAGCATCCACATGATGACTCACAACTGTCTGTAACTCCAGTTTCTGGGGATCTGAGTCCCTCTTCTGGCATCCATGGGCACCAGGCACACACATGGTGCATATACATACATGCAGCTAAACACAAATTAAAAAAAAAAATTAAGCTGGCCAGTGGGGGCACATATCTTTTAATCACAGTACTTGAGAGGCAGAGGCAGATGAATCTCTGTGAGGTCGAGGCCAGCCTGGTTTACAGAGGTAGTCCCAGTACAGCCAGGGCTACACAGAGAAACCCTGTCTCGAAAAAAACAATCAATAAATAAAATTTAAAAACCAAAGGGCAAGAAAAACACATATCATATTACAAATTGAAATGTTATTTAATCACAGATATTTAAAGTAGTATAGTCAATTGCAATTATGTTTTTATGTTGTGCACAAAGTTAGAAAACACTGCTGTGGAGGGATTCTTTTCATCCTTGTGCAAATGTTCCTCAAGATCATAGAGCAAGAGGGTCAGACTGTGACTATCGGAGAGTGTCTGTCTTCATGAAGAGGCCTGGAAGCTGTATCAAGGCAGAATGTGTAAATACATGTTCTGAAAAAGAAATACATGGGTGACATAGTTCTCTCAGTTGTGGCTTAAATGATTTCTAATTTAAGCGATTACAGGAGTATTTATCAACTTGATGGATTATCTTATTGTTTCTTATAGCAGGAGAACTTGAATGACCATCATGTTTGTCCATATGCTTTGGACTACTAAGAGCAGTGCTGACATTGGTGTATGTTTGTGTGTGCTCCAAAGGACCCGTGTTTCTTGATCACCGGGATGAACTTGAGGGAACGTACAGGGTCTACTGCCAGAACCACGATGAAGCCATTTCACTGCTTGAAGTCTACGAGAAGGACGAGAAGATCCAGAAGCATCTTCAGGACTCCCTGGCAGATCTTAAGTAGGAGATTCCGCAGTCCCGCCTTTGCCGCTGCTCTTACCTGCCTTTTAGATGCCCCATGGTCATGATGTCTCCCGCAAACCTTACTTGACGCATAAGTGACACATTATCACGTGTCCTGTGCTGTATCTTGCTCCTTTCTGTTGTGTCATGGGAATCTTAAGTGACTTCCCGATTGTATGGCTTGGTTAGGAAGCCTCTGGTTTCAGCACTAGGAGACTGAAGCACAATTGGAGTGAGTTCAAGTGCAACATAGTCTACACAGTGACTTTCAGGCCAGCCCAGGCCACACAGTGGGGCCTGTTTGAAGGGAGGAAGGAATTGTATGTGTCGCAAACTGAGTTGGTGTTTGTAGGCTCAAAACAGCCAGGGAGATGGCTCGCTATCTAAGCTGGGATACCCACCCTTGGCATTCACGGTTTTCTTCCATCTGCATGGCTTTTGTCTGCTGAGTAGGGTTGTGGGGATAGTGAGAAGGTCAATGCTATCCGTCTCTAATACTCTCTCTTTCTCTCCTCCTGCTCCCGCCCTATAGGAGCCTGTACAACGAATGGTAAGTCCCCTCATTTGGTGCCTGGTGCACACACTATTTATTCAGTGGATTCGTCAGGCCTTCAGAAGGCTGCTTTCATTTCTTCTTAGAAATCTAGACATGCTTGCCAGACTTTTTCTCAGCACTTCCCACCAACACCACTTTATTAATTTGCTTAGCGCTTGCTCCTTTTCTTCCCCCACAGCAAGGCTATCTTTGCTGTTCGGCACCTGTAGTAGTGCTGTCCCTTTGTGGTACAGGACTGGATTTACTGAATAAATGAGAACAGAACGCAGAGTCAGAGACCAAACTGCCTTTGGGGATAGCAGATGATATCCAGAAACACCTTAGCATTGACGGTTGACAGGAGTCCTTTTCCGCTTGCTTTTACAGGGGCTGCACCAATTATATCAACCTGGGCTCCTTCCTCATCAAGCCCGTACAGAGAATAATGCGTTACCCACTGCTGCTGATGGAGTTGCTGAATTCCACCCCAGAGTCCCACCCGGATAAGGTCCCTTTAACCAGCGCAGTGCTTGCCGTCAAGGAAATCAACGTTAACATTAATGAGTACAAGCGTCGGAAGGATCTAGGTGAGAAAGGCGTGTTGGGGTAAAGGAGGTTGCCTGGCTGCCAGGCCCTCCCTCCAAGAAGGCTTTTCTCTAAAGAATTACTTCCCAGGAGCTCGGCAAGGCAGGGTCCAGGTGTGAGGGGGCCGGGAGGGACAAACAGTGCTGGAATTAGGGGCAGCGGTGGCCTGAGAAGGAAAATGGGATGATGAGAAGCAACCAGTCTGGAGAGTCAGGAACAAGGAAGGATGATTAAGAAATAAGTGACGGGACAGAAAACGCCTCTGCAGGGGGTGGAGGGGCTAGACCAGTGATTCTCAACCTGCCTGTGGGTCGTGACCCCCCCACGCATATCAGATATTTACATTATGATTCATAGCATTAGCAGTTATGAAGTAGCAGTGACATAATTTTATGGTTGGGAGTCACCACAACATGAGGAACTGTATTAAAGGGTTGCAGCATTGGAAGGTTGAGAACCACTGGACTAGCCAGTGGTGACAGAGGGTTCTTTGTCACACAGTGTCCTATCACATCGTTGAAAGCAGCCCTTGTCAATACCTGCTTGGGTTATTTTCTGATTCATCTAATTAGAGTTTTACTGATCCCTACTAAATTCACAGACCCTTTTATTACCGCCTGTGCCCAGTGGCTTGCTTTCTGACATAGGCCCTCATCTCCCCGCCCAACCCTGTGCAGCCGGCTAGCTGGATGCCCACCCATTCCCCTGTGGAGTGAGCTGAACTTTTTTATTCTGTTATAGCTCGCACCGAATACTCACAGGCGCAGCATGGTGATTGCCCCGAGTCAGGGTTCAGAGGTCAGAGGTCGGTCGTGTAGAGCTCTCGGCCTTCAGCCTGCTCTGTGTGTGCTCGCCTTAGAGCAAACTTCGTGAAAACCCCGCTCATCTGCTGTGGCTTTGGAAGCTCTCTGCCCCTGGAGCCCTTCCTTTAGGTTCAGCCTCCTGATACAGGGTATCCTTTCTGCTCCTCCACCATTCCTGTCCACTGTAATCTCCAGACTTTTCTGTTCGACACAGGCTTTCCTTATATGCATCATTGCATATAAATAACTCATTTGTATACATGACCATCACATACTAATCTTAGATGGTTCAAAAATATTAAGCTTGAAGAGGTAAAATGGCTTTTATAAAGCTGAGCCCTGATTAGTGACAGCCCTGAGTCTTGAACTCACGGGCATCCTGACCTTACATCTCTGCTGTCTTTCCTCCTATCTCAGGCCCCTTCCCTGGCCGCCAGTCTCTGTCTGCCCGGAGAGCCACACTTCTGTCTAGACTGGTTCTTTGGACCAATATTTTGTCTGTTCAGTTATAAGTTATCAAAGACAAGCACTCATTTCTATTTGGGTTAATATTTCATTTTTATGCTCATTTTTAGAAAAACCTCTGTGTTTCTGGGCTGATACAGTCTCATTGAGTTCAGGCTGGGGGGAGGGGGATGGGACCTTTTTTGACAGTGGCCTTGGCTTGCATCCTAGTGCTTAAGTACCGCAAAGGTGATGACGACAGCCTCATGGAGAAGATCTCCAGGCTGAACATCCACTCCATCATCAAGAAGTCCAACCGGGTCAGCAGCCACCTGAAGCACCTCACAGGGTTCGCTCCTCAGGTGAGCTCCGTGCTTGCAGCGTGTCCAGCAGCTCTGTAGGGCCTGGGGACAGCTGCTGGCATGGCTTGGCACTGGAACCTTCTTAGTGTCTCCTTGGTTTTGCCTGTTAAGGGAGATAGGCCCTTTAACTACCACGCTGCTTACAATGTGCACAGAGGCAAATGAGGAGGCCAGCTGGCCCACATACAATAGCTGTCGTGGTCTTCCTACCTCTAAGACGTTTACAATCTATTCAGAGAACCTGATGCACTGTGCAGACGTATACGCTAGTCGGGATTTAAAAGATCATCTAGGTGACTGCCTTACGTTATGAAGAGGGAAACGTGAAAGGAGGAGACTGAGGAATTTGAACCACAGCTTGGTAGTTGCAGTCTCCAGACTTCACCCTGCACCACACCCAGATGGTGACGGGGTGGAGAGTCTTGCTCTCTGCTTCTCACGCTTTGTTTCTGTCGTACACGGGAGATCGGTAGAAGCATGAGTCTTCACCTGAGAGGGAGCAGGGGAGGGGCTGCCAGACTGGAGAACACACAAGGGAAGGGAGAGGACAGCAGCCTGGCCAGGACACAGCAGGGAAGTCAGTTTGGAAGTAGGCAGGTCCACATGTGATCAGAATCCAGAGTCATAGAGGCAGGTCTCCAAACTAAGTTTCTTATGAAAGGAAACAGCAAGTATATATATATATATTGGTGAAAGATGTTTCTAAGATATTTTCCCAATAAGGTCTATTGAAAGAAAGTCCAGGTTTTCTAAAAGCACTCCTTTTGTACAGCTAAAAGATGAAGTATTTGAAGAGACAGAAAAGAACTTCCGGATGCAGGAGAGATTGATTAAATCTTTTATCCGAGACCTGTCCCTCTACCTCCAGCATATCCGGGTAAGTGTCAGCGTGGCCCCAGTCAGGGTCACTCTTCCTCCTCTGGCCTGTTCACAGAGCCCTGGTTAATGAAAGCAATCTGTACTGAAATGACCACTCTTCCATGGCCAGTGATTTGTATAGATGTTGTCTTTGTCAATAAGGTCTTACCATCAGTTTGTGGGGAGCCTTTGCAACAGCCTGAGTTATTGGCCAACCCCTTTGGCCAAGAACTTGATTAGATGTAACCCATACCCAGTGCTGAAGATTCATTTAGTGATGAGAGATATCTAGTCGGGGGCTCTGTTATTTGGCAATTTCATTCAGGTCGCCTTCACTATATGTACATATATAGGAAGCTTCTATGTATTAGATTTCTATGTGAAATGGCCTCAACTGGCCCTTAATTTTAGCTGTCCCTCCCTCCTGGTTTGATCTTCCTGTTCCAGTCCATCCCTTTGTCCCCTCCCCATGCCATCACAGTCTATCCATAGCTGTCTATTCTATTTCCCCTTCCTGGGAAGATCTGTCCCTCACTCTGCACCTAAGGTCTGTGGGTCTGCTGTTGTAGTTTACTAATCTAACATCCTAACATATCTAATATCCACATATTAGCAAATGCATACCATATTTGTCTTTCTGGCTCTGGGTTACCTCACTTGGGATGATTTTTTTTTTCTAGTTCCATCCATTTACCTGTGAATGCCATGATTTCATTTGTTAACAGCAGAGTAATATTCCATCGTGTAAACGTACCGTTTTTTAACCCATTCATCCATTGGTGGACATCTGGGTTATTTCCAGTTTCTGACTTATGACTGGATAAACAATGAACATGGTTGAGCAAGTGTCTCTGTAGTAGGACAAAGCATCCTTTGGGTATACGCCCAAGAATAGAGTAGCTGAATCAATTCCCATCTTTCTGATGAACTGCCACACTGGTTTCCATAGTGGCTGTGTGAGTTTGCACTCCAAGGGAGGAATAATCTCCTTGCTTCCCATCTTCACAGTGTTAGCTGTCACTTGTGTTATTGATCTTAGCATTCTGACTAGTGTAAAGTGGAATCTCAGAGTGGTTTTGAATTGCATTTCCCTGATGACTAAGAATGTTGAGCATTTCTCTACATGTCTCTTGGCCATTTGAGCTCCTCTTTTGAGAATTCTGTTTAGATCTGTAGCCCATTTTAAAATTGGATTATTTGTTTTCTTGATGTCCAGTTTTTTTTTTTTTTTTTGCATTCTTTATATGTTTTGGATATTAGCTCTCTATCAGATGTGGAATTGGAGAAAATCTTTCCCTATCCTGTACTTGATCACTTTGTCAAATGATGGTGTCTTTGCTGTACAGAAGCTTCTCAGTTTCACAAGGTCCCATTTATTCATTGTTGATCTTAGTGTCTGTGCTAACAGTGTTCAGGTCAGAAAGTCTTGTCCTCTGCCAAGGCTGTTCCCCACTTCCTCTACTATCAGGTTCACTGTGTCTAGTCATACGTTGAGGTTTTTGATCCACTTGGACTTGAGTTTTGTGCAAGATGATAGACATGGATCTATTTGCATTCTTCTTTATACCGACATCCAGTTAGCCAGCACCATTTGTTGAAAGTGCTGTCTTTTATCCAGTGCGTGCTTCTGGCTTTATTAAAAATCAGGTGTCTATGGGTGTGTAAATTTATGTCTGGGTCTTCAGTTGGGTTCCATTGATCAGTGTGTCTGTTCTTGTGTTCAGCTGTATTCCATTGATCAGTGTGTCTGTTTTTGTGCTAATACCATTCTGTGTGTATTACTATAGCTCTGTAGTACAACTTGATATTTGGAATGGTGACACGTCCAGTAGTTTTTTGATTGTTCATGATAATTTTATCTGATAATTGTCACTTTAAGATCTGTGAAGAATTGTGTTGGAATTTTTATGGGGATTCCATTGAATCTGTAGAATGGTAAGATGGCTATTTTTTCAAATGATTTTTTTTTATTTTTACGTTCATTGATATTTCACCTGTATGCGTATCTGTGTGAAGGTGTCTGATCTCCTGGAGCTGGAGTTTCAGGCAGTGGTGAGCTGCCATGTGGATGCCCGGAATTAAGCTTGCATCTCTGAGGAGCAGCCAGTGCTCTTAACTGCCGAGCTGTCTCCAGCCCCAGGATGGCCGTTTTTACTATATTAATCCTGCTGGTCCACGAGCATGGAGCTCTTTCCATCTGCTGATGAAACCTTCTTCAGTTTCTTTCTTCAATATCATAAATGTTTTAGTCATAGAAATCTTTCACTCGCTCAGTTAGTTACCCCAAGATATTTTATATTTTTTATTGAGGCTATTGTGAAGGGTGCTGTTTTTCCTGGTTTCTTTCTCAGCCCATTTGTCATTTGTAGTATAAATTTTTTGTCAGCTAATTTTGTACCCTGCTACCTTGCTGAAAATGTTTATTCACTGTAAGAGTTTCCCGGTGGAACTTTTGGGGTCACTTACGTGCACTATCATATCAGCTGCATATAAAGATACTTTGACTTCATTCCAATGTGTTTTGTTCAAGCAGGGTTTCTCTGTGTAATCTTGGTTACCTGAAACTCTTTGTAGACCAGGCTGGCCTTGAACTCAGAGATCCATCTGCCTTCCAAGTCCTAGGATTAAGAGTGTGCGCCATCACTGCCCTGCTCTTTTATTTTTTAACTTAAAACAAACAAGACCTTTCTCTGACTGAGGTACAGAAAGATGCTAAGCTGATAAATCCATCAGTAGTTCTGTACCATAGTTCTGTTCTCTGCGCCCCATCCATCCTTTATAAGGGCATGCGTATTTCAGTGTGAAAATATTGCAAGAGAAGGGACTTTGCAGGCAGATTTGCCATGACAAGCTACTTGCTCAGGTGACTTTTTATCTCACTTTGTCTTTCACGGGCTCTAGGAATCTGCGTGTGTGAAGGTGGTGGCAGCCATGAGCATGTGGGATCTGTGTATGGAGAGGGGACACCATGACCTGGAGCAGTTCGAGAAGGTGCACCGCTGCATCAGCGACCAGCTCTTCACGCGCTTTGTGAGTGCCTGTCCAGCCCCGTTTCCAGGCTTGGCTTCCTTCCCAGAGCCCTCTCAAAAGGCAGCTCACACCAAAAGTCCCTTCCCGAGGCCTGAGTCACAAGCTTTAGTGTGCCGCATCAGAGTTTGAGGTAGAGCGCGACCAGTGTGTGGACAACAGGGCCTGGGGATATTCTGGGGTCTCCCCATAACTTACGTTATTTCAGAGGACAATCTAGGGTGAAAAGCTAGGAAATGTAGTCTGGTGGATTCACTGAGTATACTGATCTCAAAAAATTTATTCCTCCATATGTCTTTTCCAGTTAAAATATCAGTAAATGACTCCATAGAGAAAGTGCTACAGGGGCAGAATGCTTAAGAACTTCCAAAGAGACGTGGGGGCCGTTGCCAGCAGATTGTGTATGTGGCTTTGTTAGAGCCTTCTGCTGGGAGGAAGGCTAAAGCGGGAGGGCGGGCATGCACACCGGGAAACTCCCAGGGGCTCCCGCAGGAAATTCTTTTAATGGTATACCACTAGGCTGGGACAGCTCAGCTCCCAAAGAGCATGAGGACCTAAGCTCTTGTTTTGTTGTTTGTTTGGCTTTGGTTTTTCAAGACAGGATTTCTCTGTGGAGCCCTGGTTGTCCTGGAACTCACGTTGTAGACCAGGCTGGCCTTGAACTCAGAAATCTGCCAGCCTCTGCCTCCTGCATGCTGGGGTTAAAAGGTATGTGCCACCATGCCTGGCCTGAGGACCCAAGTTCTATCTCTAGTACACTTATTAAAAAAGAGCCGGTGTGGTGGCACACTCTTGTTTGTTTTGGTTTTTCGAGACAGGGTTTCTCTGTAGCTTTGGAGCCTGTTATGGAACTAGCTCTTGTAGACCAGGCTGGCCTCGAACTCAAGAGATCCGCCTGCCTCTTCCTCCCAAGTGCTGACATTAAAGGTGTGTGCCACCACTGCCTGGCACACTCTTGTAATCTCTGCACTGACGAGGCAGAGACAGACAGGTGGCTCACTGTCCAACTGTCCAAGCTTACTTGGTGTATTTCAGGATGGCAAGAGATCCTTTCTCAAAAGGAAGGTAAATGGCCCCAAAAGCATGACACCAAGGGTGCCCTCTGGTGTCTGCACACATGCAGATAATACACTACTGAGTGCTTACGTATATTTTTATGTGTTTAACAGCTACTCTCAATGTCTGTCTTTCTAGAGGAATAAGAGGAAAATCCTCTGAAAAGTAAAAGTGGGCATTGCCACACGGTAATGACTGGAAACTGAGCGAGAGGACACATCCCAGACTTAAGGATTATCTGCAGCTAAAATCAAGTGTAGATAAGTGCGTGCATAGGGTGACCACACAGACTAGTCACATGTCATACTGGAGTATACTTTAGTATTCATGAGCAAAGCAGCTAGAGGGGTGGTGGCAAAGGCCTATTATGAGAATTGTAGGGTGAAGTACAGTAGGGCGTGGCTATGGGTCTACACAGGGTCACCTTAGAGCAAAGAGGGGTATAAGGCATGACCAAATCAACCTTAAAGTGCTTTGGAGACAAAAATGAGATCCTGACCAGCAACCTGCCTTTCTTGTCCCCACAGAAGGAGAGGACTGAGCGGCTTGTCATCAGTCCCTTAAACCAGCTGCTGAGCATGTTCACGGGGCCCCACAAGCTGGTGCAGAAGCGCTTTGACAAGCTTCTGGACTTCTACAACTGCACTGAGCGTGCAGAGAAGCTCAAGGACAAGAAGACTCTGGAGGAGCTGCAGTCAGCCCGGAACAACTACGAAGCCCTGAACGCCCAGCTGCTGGACGAGCTGCCCAAATTCCAGCAGTACGCCCAGGGCCTCTTTACCAACTGCATCCACGGCTATGCTGAAGCCCACTGTGACTTCGTGCAGCAGGCGCTGGAGCAGCTGCAGCCCCTGCTGTCGGTGCGTCCTTCCCTCTGCTAGGACCGCGTTATCTCAAACACAATGGGTGCTTTCTAGAATTCTTGGTAGGGTCATTTGGTCTTGCCATCAGGGACTGTTGGTCCATTCTTGGTGTCTTGAAGCCTGGGGTTGTTCCATCTTGAGCCATTTCTAGAAGGGTTAGCTCGCAGGCAGTGACAGAGCTCCTTGTCTCTTGCATCGACTGCCGTTTTGACGCCCAATTCAGCCAACTACAGTTGACCGTAGTGTGTGTAGTTGGCTCTGAAGACTTTGTCAGGCCCAGGGATCTTTCATCTGTGTTCTCTTCTTTCCTGTCTTAACTCCCTACGGTCTACAGTCACTGAGAGCCACTGACCGAGAAGGCAACTTGATTGCCATCTTCCACGAGGAGCACAGCCGGGCCCTGCAGCAGCTTCAGGTCTTCACCTTCTTCCCCGAGTCCCTCCCTGCTCCCAGGAAGCCCTTTGAGAGGAAAACCACAGACCGCCAGTCATCCCGGAAGCCCCTTCTTGGCATGGTGAGTAGGCACCCACTGTGGTGCCCAGTGCTGATGGACACACGGGCACTTGAGCATGTCACTTAGCTTCATCATCTCTAACCCAGATGGTAGATGATAATCACCAGCCCTGCATCACAGGGCGATCACCAGACTTAACTGGGTTAACATGGGACTTTGCCCAGCACATAAGCACTGTGCAGATAGATATTAATATCGAAGACCTATTGTGCTTCTGCATGGGGACAGCTTAGTAGCAGTTTTGACTTTTCATAATAAATGGAGAATAAGAGACTATTGGGCCTGTTCCATCCCAGGCTGTTTCCCGAGCATCACCGATGTGGCTTTGGTACCCGACTAGGACCACCTAGAGTCTTTTTTTTAATTTATTTCCACCTGGAGTCTTGATGTGAATTTCAAGCTGCCTTCAGGAATCCTTAGATCTTAGTAAAGCATTGATACATGGATGAGTTCATGAAGGGGAATAGGTTAGAGATTTACTCAGGCCTATTTTTGACCATGTATTAGAAAAGTCAGCACAGCCAAACTATTAATGGCTTTTCACCTGGAGTGGCATTGTAGTTTTTTAACAGTTCTTTCCTATTTTAAGTTGGGGATAAGATATTCCAGATCATGTGGGTGCCTAGCCAGAAGGACCAACCAATGATCTTCCTTCCGTAGACATTTGTCCCATAGACTCCCACAGGCAGCCAGTTATTACCTTTAGCTTTTCATTTTTAAGATTTTTATTTTAAATTATGTATATAGGTGCCTAGAGTCCAGAAGAGGGTGTGGGATTCTCTGGAGCTGCCGTTACAGATGGTTATGAGCCCTCCGACATGGGTGCTAGTTTTCTACCAGAGCAGAATTACTTTAATTTAATACTCATTATTTAGGTTTATATAGCAATGTGATAGAAGATCACATTGGGATTTGGATTTTAAATTTCATTTATTTTGATAGTAGCAGTTGTACCAAGGCCTTACGCGTGCTCAGAATGTGCTCTGCAGTTGGGCTGCACCCTCCCTACCCCAGTATTGGATCGTTTAGCACTTTAATCAAATTTTTGTTTGTTTTCTATTTTTGCATAAAATAAGGATGTTAGTTTGCCTCATGCCTTCAGAGACATCAAAACGTTGCCTAAAGGACCACAATTTTTACCTAATGCATCCTGACTTGATTATGAAAGCGTCTTTTGTAGGTAGTTGAGTGGCTGAGGGTTGTGCCTCGCTCCTGAGATGGTAGATGAGATTAAATACAAGGCTAAGGTGATGGCGGGGTTCTTACCCTCCTGTGCTAGGAGGACATCCAGATTCTTATGGTCCCATGCTAGGAAGATAGAGGGGTTCTTACGGTCCCGTGCTAGGAAGACGGTGTGGTTCTCACTGGCCTTGTTCCTCAGCCGAGCTACATGCTGCAATCAGAAGAGCTGCGGGCCTCCCTGCTGGCAAGGTACCCCCCTGAAAAGCTCTTCCAGGTGGAACGGAACTTCAACGCTGCTCAGGACTTGGATGTCTCCCTTTTGGAAGGCGACCTGGTGGGTGTGATAAAAAAGAAAGATCCCATGGGCAGTCAGAACCGCTGGCTCATCGACAATGGAGGTGAGGACTGCAGGCTCTGGGGAAATGTGACCCAATGAGAGAAAGACATGCGCTTTTGGTTAAGGGGGTGTGATCATAGAACTGTCCTAGTTTCTAGAGAGAGTGTGGCACCCAGGTTGATAGTGAAGCCACATGCTTCGGATTGCATTTTTTTTGACAACTTTCAGAGAAGATTCTGTTATATTTATTTATCCTGAAACTGTTGCCATGGGTTTTTTTTCTAAGTCACCCAGGCAGCTGCCTTCTGAATCTGTAAACTGTATGAATTAAAAACCTGTGGTTTTGTTAGCTGTCCCTGTAATAATGTTACTTCATGGCTGTTTAGAGAGGGACGTGAAATCAAACACTCCACAGCTTTCTTTTTTTGGAGGAAGATTATAGACTTTAGTATAATCCCTTTTCCCACAATCCCCAAATCCACAACCCCAAGTTTAGACCAACAGGGCTCTTTCAGAACCTGTTTGTCAAACCTGCAGGAGCCGCAGGGCAGGGCTCACAGTCATCACTAGCCTTTCCAGCAGGAACCCTTGTCTGTCTGCTGTGGAGGGTGGGGAAATAGATAAAGGTTTTGGTTTGAGGAATGTCCAATATTTATGAGTTCCAAAGCTTCCAACCTAAGTATTCTAAGTAGATTTTGGGTATAGGCTAATTTAGCATTTTGGGGGTTTCTTTAAAACCTTCTTGTGGGCTGGGGAGGTTGATGAAGAGCCCTCCAGGTCAGTGGTTAGAGTTCAGACTCCAGAATCTATGGGAAAAGCCAGAAGACATACCTCATACTACATCCAAAGACATCCTGCCATGTGGGGTCCCAGCCAGGATCATCCCTCAGCTCTACTTGTGACCTCAGGAATCTCTGGATTCCTTCCTGAGCAGAGTCCTGGGACAAAAACAAAGAAAAATTGTGATAAGATTAAAATGCCAGCATTTAATAAAAAAGAAACCGTAAGGGAGACATTCTTTGGGCATGGAGTTGCATGCCCAGGGACTGTGCTCCTCTGATTTCTTTCTTATGAGAAACATCTTTGTGTTTGAAATGTGTGGCCCGGAGCCCTCCATCATCACCATAGACATTTTGTTGAGGTGCACACACTAGACTCAGCGTCCTGCGTTATAGTACTCATGGCAGTCCACGGCTTTCCATGACCCTAAGATGGTTCTGGTATATGGAGAGGGCAGGTACAGATGGCCTTCCTGAGCGACTCTGTACAAGGACAACCTTGAGATCTGTTTTTGACATGGTGTATTTGAATTTAAGCTTACCCGAGTCTTCTCTTGTGTGGTCTGGGCATCCTGTTACATTCTTTTGTGCCGGTTGCCAAACGTGATACTTTTGTTTCCTTTTTTGGTCCTGTTATTTTTCAACAAGGTCTCACCTTGTGGCAAGGCTATCCTTGAACGTGGAGTAATCTTTCAGTCTCCTGAGTGCTGAGGTCACGAGTAAGAGCCGCCAAATTTTGGTGTTTCATTAGTTATTTTTAAACAAACATGATTTGTTTTGTTTTGTGTTTTTCACCAGCCTGTTAACTGCCCGCAGACATCCTTGTCATTTTCATGTTGTGCTGCTATAATAATGACCTGGAAGGCAGCCACAGGTTTGGGGCATTTTCTGGCTTTGGCTGTTGCAAGCCATCACGTCACTAAGCACTTGGGTTTTGCCTTCCTTGATCTTTTTTTTTTTTATGAGTATGGTGATTTGGCTGCATGTGTGTCTATGCACCACATTTGTACCTGAAGGTAGTATTGAACATCCTGGAAATGGACTTTATGAATAGTTGTCAGTGCCTTGTGGATATTGGGAATCGAACCCAGGTCCCCTGGAAAAGCAACTGGTGTTCTTAACTGCCCAGCCATCACTGCAACCCCACTGACATAGCTTTTAAATTACACACACACACTCACTCTTGCTCCAGCTTTAGCTGCTGTTCTTTCCTTCTACAGTCACCAAAGGTTTTGTGTACAGCTCCTTCCTGAAGCCCTACAATCCTCGGCGCAGCCATTCGGACGCCTCCGTGGGCAGCCACTCGTCCACAGAGTCAGAGCAGAGTAGCTCCTCGCCCAGGGTCCAGCGGCAGAATAGCAACAGTGCCTTGACCTTCAACTCCAACATGACTGTGTCCTTCACCTCAGGGCTTTCCCCAAAGCAGCCCCAGGACGCCTCTTCACTGAAGGAATGTGACCAAGGAACTCTTGGTCTGTCCTTGAATGCCGGGAGTGCAGAAACTGGGCCTTCCAGGTGCTTTTCAGACCCAGACTCTACCTGCCAGCTTAGGTCAGGGGACTCTGCAGATGGTGCCAGAGACGTAAGCCAACCTGTTTCAACCCTGAGGGGCTGCCAGCGAAGTTCCAGGCATCCAGACGTGGACTCTGCAGATGGTGCCAGAGACATAAGCCAACCTGTTTCAACCCTGAGGGGCTGCCAGCGAAGTTCCAGGCATCCAGACGTGGACTCTGCAGATGGTGCCAGAGACGTAAGCCAACCTGTTTCAACCCTGAGGGGCTGCCAGCGAAGTTCCAGGCACCCAGAGGTGGTAGGTTACTTTGTACCAGGGCGAAATGAACAAGGTAATGACTCGGTAAAAGGAAGTGCAAGGGCCTATCCAACTCCAGAAGACAGGAACCCAAGAGCCTACCAGACTCCAGAAGACAGGAGCAGAGGGCTCGGAAGCAGTGAGACGGAAGGTAACCAGGTACGCACACCCCGCCCCTGTGTGGCTCCCAAGCAGGGGCAGATGTGGAGCGAGTACAGGAGAAGGCCAGACAGGGGCTGTAACCCTATCCTGTCATACATGTCACAGAACCCCACTGTCTTAGGGAGCAGCCCCCCTCTCCTGCACAGAGCTTCCACAGACACTTCCAGGCCATCCCTAGGCCCTCTGCTTTGTCACTGGATGCCAAGATAAAATCTGTTTTTACTCTTCAAACCTGTGCATTCATCCAGTGTAGGGGCTGCTATTTAACCTACCCAGCCAGGCTTTTGTCCCTTAGCTCTAGTTTTATTTCCAGAATTTAGAAATGAAAGTCAGTGCTGTTTCTGCTTTTCCTGTTTTTGCAAGCCCTGCTCCTGCCTCGTGAGCCCGGTGTCCCGTTTCTCTCACACAGCAGTGGGTTTCCTGGTTAGTCATAGATGTGTCATGTCCCAGGAGAATGTGACACCTGCTGGCTTCTGCCTGCCGGTTCCCTCTGCTGACAGCCTAGGGCAGGTTTCCCAGTTCTGGACCCGAGTGGACCGCATCTTCTGACTTCTTGACAGGGGGCTCAGTTCTAGCCTCATCAACTCCTGAGCCTGGGCTGTCCTTACTATGGCCCTTGTGGCCTCACAGCTTCTCCCATCACTGGAGTCCTCCCCAGTGCTCTCTGTCCTCCTGACGGCACCTACTGTTAGATATTTTACTCTTTTGACTTTTGGGGGGTTCACCACCCAGCTCCCAAATAAATCATACACAGAGACTTTTCTTATTTATGAATACCCAGCCTTAGCTTGGCTTTTTTTTTTTTTTTGTTTTTCGAGACAGGGTTTCTCTATGGTTTTGGAGCCTGTCCTGGAACTAGCTCTGTAGACCAGGCTGGTCTCGAACTCAGAGAGATCCGCCTGCCTCTGCCTCTCGAGTGCTGGGATTAAAGACGTGCGCCACCACCGCCCGGCTTTTGGGGAGGGGGGCGGACTTATTTCTTGCTAGCTTTTCTTAAATTATCCTGACTACCTTTTGCCTCTGGACTTTTTCCTTTTCTTTGTATATCTTACTTTCACTCTTACTCGCTGGCCGGCCCCTGATGTCGTCCTCCCCTTCTCTTTTCCTCGTTTCTCCTGTTCATACTCTGCCTGCCAGCTCTTTATTAGACCATCAGGGGTTATAGACAGGCAAAGAATCACAGCTTCACAGAGTTACACAAATGCAGCATAAACAAAAACACACCTTAAAATAATATCCCCCAACAGTCTACAGATAGATGTTTCTTGCTTTGAGATTAATCATGTATTATTACTTTAGTTTGGTTTGGGGTTTTGTTTTTCTTTCCTGTTCTGGGAATGGAGCCCGCCCAGGGTTTGGAGCAGGCTAGCCTGTGCTCTGAGCTCTTAGCCTAATGGAGACTTTGTAGTGGAATATAGAATTGGGGTAGACAGTCCCCTCGCAGCTCACCATCTTCCATATTGCCAAGGTTCTTTAAGGCTGTTCTGAAACAATAAAAAAAGTCTGCATGTTTTGAGAGTTTTGGGTTGTGAGATGAGTCTCACCAGGTAGCCTAGTCTGGCCTGTAGTTGGTGGCGCGCCCCTTGCCTACGCCCTGTTCATTATGGATTACTCCAGTCATGTGCAGCTATTTAAACTGTAAATCAGATTAGAAATTCACCTTCAGCCCAACAGTGGTGGCGCACATCTTTAGTCCCAGCACTCAGGAGGCAGAGGCAGGCAGATCTGAGTTCAAGGCCAACCTGCTCTACAGAGATTGTTTCAGGACAGCCAGGGGTACACAGAGAAACCCTATCTTGAAAAAAAAAAATTAAAAAAAAAAAGAAAGGAATTCCACTTCCAGACCCACAGGTGACCAGTAGACACAGTACATAACGCCCTCACAGCGCTGCTGCAGCAGGATCCTAACCTCTCTTTCCTTCACATAGGTCTATTTTGCCGTCTACACCTTCAAGGCACGAAACCCAAATGAACTGAGTGTGTCGGCCAATCAGAGACTCAAGATCCTTGAGTTTAAAGATGTCACAGGCAATACGGAGTGGTGGTTGGCTGAAGTTAACGGGAAGAAGGGCTATGTCCCTTCCAATTACATCCGGAAAACTGAGTACACCTGAGCCCAGGTTGCCCCCACCCTCCCTTGCTGCCACTTTCAGCCCGCTGAAAGGATCTGTGGGCCCCAGGCACCGGCTCCTGAGCGCAGGCCCCACCACACTGCCTATCCATAACTGGAGTGCAAGCTAAGCTTTGTTCTCGATTGGGTCGTGCACCGTGATGCTCGCTAGAATTTGAAGTGGACCCCAGTGCTTGTCAGTGATTCCCTGACCACAAGCAGCAGCCGAGTGCTGGTGTTGGCTTTGGGAAATGAGAAGTTTCCAATCAGAAAAGCAGTATTGGATGCAGGAAGCTTGTGCATCGTTTGTTGCAGCCTCTGTGGTTGACTGAGCAGTCAGCTGAGAGGAAGAGGAGCATGCTGGGAGAACCCCGCCACCATGCCTCTGTGCTTGGTAAAAAGGTTTCATCACGATCATATTAAACCTGGTGCATCAAAGTGACTGAGACACCCCAAGTACCTGGCACCCCTTCTCTGACGTGCTCCCGATTCCTAGTTCTTGAAATGCTAACCTGTTCTTTCTCGCTGCTCCTCTGTTAGGTGTTTACAGTCCTCCTTTCCTTTTGACCTTGTGTCTGGAGGGTTCTCTTGCCTTGTCAGACGCGGTCATCTGCCTCCTCCTGATACTCATCGACCTTATGTAGTCCCTGTGTGATGTCACCTAACCTTTCTCCCTGTACGCCATAACTGACAGACTTTCCTAGACTACCCTGCGGGCAGCACTCCAGCTGGCCCCTGAAAGTATTCACTCTGCGGTAATCTCCAACCGGTTGAGCCTGGAGGAAGCCTGGACGCCTTTGTCTTCCACCTGAGCACTCTGCTGCCATCTAGTGGCGTCCACACATGCTCACAACAGTCGTGGCTTATTTGAAGCAGGTAGAATCAGTGGCCACAGAAGCAGCTTGTCTCAGACTTGGAAACAGGTTTTTTCTTTCTGTCCAACTGCCATACTTCAGACATAATAGTCAAAGCCAAACAGATACAAAAGTGCCTAATGAGACCTCACGCCCAAGGCTGGAAGGTGTGCGATAAGCCTCATGTGAAGAAATGGCCTGAGGCTTGTCTCAGCGGGCTCTCAGACTCCAGCTGAGCCCTCTTGGCCCAGCCTTCCAGCCGCTGCTCTTCCAACTGCACATTTGGCCTTAAAATCCTGGTGAATCAGGATGTGCCTGTGGACACCCCAGCCACAGCTTCTGCTCCACTGGTCGGGGCCTCTTATGAAGTGTTTATATTTAGAGATGTTTATATTTAAGTAGCTATTTTATAAATAAAAGTATTTCTATTGGCCATAAGTGTTTTTCTTCATCTTGATTTTGAGCTTTTGTTTTTTTCATCCTTGACCAGCTGAGTCACAAGGGGCCCTGTTTTTTTTCAATACTAATACAGCAGTGGTTATTTTTTTAAAGATTTTTTTTTTATGTACATTAGGGTTTTGCCTGCACGTATACCTGTGTGATGATGCCAGATTGCCAGGAACTGGAGTTACAGACAGTTGTGAGCTGCCGTGTGGTTGCTAGGAATTGAACCCCTTCCCTTGGAAGAGCAGCCAGTGCTCTCAACTGCTGGGCCATTGCTTCAGCCCCTACAGCAGTGTTTCTCAACCCATGGGTCATGACCTCTTTGGGGATTAGATATCCTGTATATCAGATATTTATAACAGTCACAAATTATAGTTATGAAGTAGCAATGAAATAATTTTACAGTTGGGGTCACCGCAACATGATGAACTGTATTAAAAAGTTGCAGCATTAGGAAGGTTGAGAACAGTTTCTGGTCATAGATTTGAGTCTTTAATCCACTTTGGGGTGTTTTTCCCTTTTTTGGGGATGCAGTGAGATGATCTTGTTATGTAGCCCAGGCAGGTCTCAAGTGAGATCCTTTTGCCTCACCTGGGTTTTGGGGTTACAAGTATATGATTACTCTGCCAGCCAGGAGTTTTTTTTATTTTATGTCAGGTGTGTGGTGCACACCTTCAGCCCCAGAGCTTGGGAGGCAGAGGCCGGAGGAACACATCACTTTCCATTGAGTTTTTTTTTCCATTATTCACATAGAGCGGCAAGCTGTTCTCGAACCCAGGACCTCGGGAACAGTGGTAGGCGCTCTTAGCCTCTGCGCCACCTGTGCAGCTGCTTTTCCATTGAGTTTTTAAGCAACTAGAGTTTGTCATTTCTAGATTTGTTTCCTCTGAACTTCTATGTCTTGGTTGAGTTTTTCATCCAAATTATTAAATTTCTCATCAAGTGTTCTCACCATAAAAAAAAAATGTTCACAGCTGAGTCAGGCTGTTCCCCCAACAGCCTGCACAGCATCTTCCAGTACTGTGAAAACAAGCCCAGCATCTCCAGTACTGTGAAAACGAACCAGAAACCTGGCTGTAAACCCATGGCTGGCGAGCGCACAGGCCCCAGGGACAGAACCTACTCCTATTGTTTTGCTAAGTGCACACAGCATCAAGCTGCCGTCTAAATTTATATCTCTACCCGTAGATGAGTGCGGCTCTCAGTCCTCAGAGAAGTTTCTTTGTACAGTAGACAGTGGTTAACACAGAAAGTCACAGCTGGTCAAGTCGGGGTCCAGCCTCAATGGGGTTAACCCGTCCTAGGGTTGGGGCGCGAGGATTGGAAATATCAGGCGAGAGGAACAGAAGCAGAATAGCACCGGGAGGATAATCCAGTGAATGCTGTTTGCCCGCATCTCTCTTTCATACACTTATACACCCCAATCCAAAAGGATGGGGTGCGGGGAGACAAAAGACTGCTCTAACACGATACAAAGAACAAACAGCGCCATTACCTGCCTCGGTACCTGAGACATCAAGCAACTATATCCTGAGTTAAGCATTCTGTTGTTCAGGCAGGACACTCAGCAACCACACCTTAGGCCAAGCATCCTGTAGGCAGCCACTCCCTGGGTCGAACCTCATGTCACACCCTTGAAGGAACAGAAATAGGCCTGAATTCACTGGCCTTTGGTCAAGGTGGAATGGACCCACATCTGTGGGCCCCCACGTGGTCAGAGTGCAGAGAATATCAGTGGAGTGCTCAGTCACACAAATGGCGCGTCTGTAACATCACGTCCCCTCTCCAAAGACTCAGACCATCGAAGAAGTGGGAGCAGAAAAAGAGCCAGAGGTCAGGGAAGGCTGCAGTGAAACACCTAGATAGGATAGGAGAGATGCCTGCATGACAAGACCAAGCCAGTCAACGTTCTAGCGTGGAGTGGAAAGCGTTTCACGGGCCCCCACCCCTAATCAAGAAGCTATGGATAGTTAGGGACTTTTGGGGGGGGGGGGGTCTCAGGCTTCTTAAAGGCTGTGGCTCTAGGTAGGTTGACCACACTCCAGTGGATGGCCCCAACCTCGTGAGTGTATGGGCAGTACAAATTAGAGTTGAGAATTATTAAAGCAAAGGAAGTTGTGGGTCTGGGGGTGATCCAAGGAGTTACAGAGACTCTGAGTGCTAAATATGATCAAAATGCATTATAGGAAACCCAATAAAATACTTTTATTTTGGGCATTCTGCAGTGTGTGAATGATTTAAAACGTTGCTCATGATAAACTTATACAATTTTTGTCAATGGAAAAATGAAGGCCGAAACATCAACACAGTGTAAACAGCAAGTTGGAGGGGGCTTTAGAGCTGGCTCCGGTAGCAAACCCGTGTAGGCTGTGTTAGAAGACATCACCTGTGCTGGGGAGAGGAACGGATCAAAGGCAGGAGAAGCAGTTGCTGGGGAAATGAATTCTTAACTGACTTAGGCAAAAAACTGGGAATGCAAAAGAAAAATAACCTATAAAGAATATGAAATTGAAGCTGGACAGTGGTGGCACAGGCCTTTAATCCCAGCAGCACTTAGGGAACAAAGGCAGGCAGATCTCTGTGAGTTCAAGGCCAGCTCTGGTCTACAGAGCATGTTCCAAGACAGCCAGGGCTACACAGAAAAACCTGTCTCAAACAAACAAATGAAAAACAAAATAAAATTGAAGAACTAAAGGAATCATTGGCAAAAGGGTAATAATTGGGCCAGTAGCAATTTTATAAAAAGTATATTTTTTCTTAATACTAGATGCCTCCTAGGCCTCTGTTACCTAAGATGGCATCTGCAGAGCGGCAGAGCCACATGGCCATCACCTGGAAGCTGTGGTCAAGGCTGGCCCCAGATTAGTGTGTGCAGTGAAGGCTGAGACATGGCCACCGCAGGGTTACTATCGCTGTGATGAAGCGCTGGCCTCAGATTCACGTATGCAGTGAAGGCTGAGACACGGCCACCGTAGGGTTACTATCGCAGTGATGAACTGCTACAACCAGAGCAACTGAGGAGGAAAGGGTTTGTCCAGCTTACACATCCCGAGTCACAATCCAATGCAAGAACTCAAACAGGGCTGGAACCTGGAAGCAGGAACTGACACAGACGCCATGGAGGAGCGATGCTTACTTGCTCCTCATGGCTTGTTCAACCTGCTTTGTTATAGAGCCTAGCACAGGACCACCAGACTGGGCCACATCAATCACTAGTTAGGAAAAGGCTCAATCTTATGAGGCATTTTCTCAACTGGGGTTCCCTCCTCTTGGATGACTATAAATTGTGTCAGGTTAACTTAGGAAGCACAATGTCTATCTAGGTAATTTTTAAAAGCTAAATTCAACTTTTAAAAACTTTACATGTATGTGTGTGAGCGTGCATGTGTGTATGTCATATGTGCATGGGTGCCTGCGAAGCTGAAGTTCCAGGAAGCTCCGAGCTGCTCAGTGTAGGCACTGAGACAGGACTCCAGCCCACTGCAAGAGCAGCAAGTGCTCTTTACCACTGAGCCATCTCTCCAGCCTCTAAAACTGATTTTTAGAAATAGTCTCTATTATAGCCCAGGCTAGCCTCAACTGTGATCTTCCTATGTTAGTCTCTTAAGCTGCCTGCATCACCACACTCAACCAAGCAAGATAAATTTTTTTTAATAGTGAAAGCTTCTTTAAAAAAAAAAAAAAGTTTATTATGTATACAGTGTTCTGCCTGCAGGCCAGAAGAGGGCACCAGATCTCAAGATCTCATCACAGATGGTTGTGAGCCACCATGTGGTTGCTGGGAATTGAACTCAGGGCCTTTGGAAGAGCAGCAGTGCTCTTAACCTCTGAGCCATCTCTCCAGCTCCAAGCAGTTAATTTTTAACAGATTTTTTTTTTTTAGACAAGTTCTCTCTACATAACCCTGTCTGTCCTGTAGCTCACTATGTAGATCAGGCTGGCCTCGAACTCAACAAACGATCTACCTGCCTCATGCTTCCCAAGTGCTGGGATTAAAGACATGCACAACCACATCTGGCTAAAAAGTTAGAAAGAGGCTCCTGCTGGTCAAACACTGTGGGAAGTCACTGAAGAAGCGTCCACACCCGTATCTGCCTGCTTTCTGACTCTCCGGCTTTCTCTGCCTGTCCGAAGTAGTTCTTTATTCTCTCACCTGCCATCACTAGAGCAGGGATGGGTACAGGGAGCCTGGAGTTAGAGAGCGGTGATCTCAGGTCTCCCTCCTAAGATAATGAGAATCACATGTCTGCAAACGCAGGCGATGTGAACTGGAGAACGTGGCTCCCAAGGAGGACTGCATTTTCTGTCCTGTTTTAACTGCTTTAGAAGATGAGACTCTGCTGTGTGGGTTTCCAGGGCCAGGAATGGGCCCCAAGAACCCTTCCAAGATAAGCGCTTACTCAAAGCCCTTTTCCCAGGCACCCCAGCGGCTTTCCTCTGTAGTCAATAGCATTCTGTAGCAACAGATTCTGTTTCCCTTTTGCAAGGCGCAGCAGGATATAGTGCCAGGCAGGATTAAAAGCCAACCACCTTTCCACTGGCCTCAACTCCAGTGTGCTGGGATTACAGACACACACCACCACACCTGACTCATATTAAAACTTTTACAAAGTACTTGGGTGCCTGGGTCTCAGCACCACTTAGAGGTGTGTGTGTGTGTGTGTGTGTGTGTGAGAGAGAGAGAGAGAGAGACAGAGAGAGAGACAGAGAGAGAGACAGAGAGAGAGACAGAGAGAGAGACAGAGAGAGAGACAGAGCTTACCATGTAGCTCTGGCTGTTCTGGAACTTACTATGTAGACCAGGCTGACCTCAGGCTCACAGACATCTACCTGTTGGGTTTCAAGGCATGTGCCACCAGTGCCCAGCCTAGAAGACATCCCTTAAGGACAGAAACCGGTTATGATTCTTCCCCAGTGTAGCTGTGATCCGGCAGAGGGAAGGGGAAGACGAAAAGGGCACTGTGCTTAGCAACATGTTCATTCCGGAAATACTGGGAGCAGGCAGGCCTGGAGGACCTCATATATGACCCGGGGAGCCTAAAGACACACGCAGACCACATCACAAACCTACGCCTGTGCACCCATATCCAAGGGTCTCCAGTACACCCAAGAGGAGTCAGGCCCAGGCGTTTCCTGTCAAAGCCGTGAAAGCATGACAGACTTAATCCACCATTGCCACAATTCTGACCAACTTTGGCTGATGCCTTAGCTACAGCATTTCAGCTGAGAACAGGGCATGAGTAACTCCAAGGATCAAACGCAGTAAGGTGGGGCAGTATAGTTGGGAAAGAGTGTATATTGATGCAGTTCAACCCGCCTGCACCGACTTGCGTCCATTAGCTACAGGTGCTTTTGGATAATCCTGGTTGGTTTCTCTCTGCGGTTTCCCAGCACGCTACAAACAAACTCATCCTTCGAAATCTGTTGTCACACTTAAGCAACGGATTTTTTTTTTTTTTTCGAGACAGAGTTTCGCTCTGTCCTAGGACAGAGTTTAGAGCCTGTCCTAGAACTAGCTCTTGTAGACCAGGCTGGCCTTGAACTCAGAGATCCGCCTGCCTCTGCCTCCCGAGTGCTGGGATTAAAGGCGTGCGCCACCACCGCCCAACCTAAGCAATGGATTCTTGTTAGTAAATTAAGAACACCCTAGATTCTCTGAATAAATTATCCATCCGTTATTTGTGAGTACCCCCCCCAAAGGCATGTATATAGCTTTAGGGCTGGACACTGACACCAGGTCCAGCAGGGCCTCCCGGAGGCCCCCACCACTGAGCACAGCACCTGAAGCTGCTTTTGTCTTTCCCCTACTTCTTGGTGGGATTTTAGCATGACATGGTCTTGCTGCTGCAGCAGGACAAGACATCTATCAGTAAGTGCTCTCAATAAACTGTAGCCTCTGGAGCTGCGGGTCTGTGTGACGCTTTCCTTTGGTCTCAAGGCACCTGGGAGGCGGTTCTCATACACCAGGACCGTCCTGGACAGGTGTCAGTCATGAGCCTTACAATCAGCGTTTAGTCAGAAGTAAAAGGCACCGTGATACTTAGATAGATCCCAACCACAGACTGATGAGATAAAAACCCTGCCATTCAGTGTTCATTGGAAAACCTTGTGAATTTCGTCAGAGGCACTGTCACTCTCCGTTCCTACTTTCCTCGTGTTAAACCCGAAGATTTGAGGAGAAAGACCACCATCTCAAATAATTATGGTCAAATTAATTAAAGCAAGCGTTTAAATTCATGCACGCAGGCTGTCTCCCTCTAAAGCAGATAAGGATTAGATAGCTCAGGGGTAGGGGTGTCCAAATGAAGGGGTGGTAGGCAAGTAAGCGGGGCTACAGAAGCTGAACTTAGCAAGGTGGTCCTAACAGCTGGAGACTGTAGTGAGCCTTTCTTGTTAGACTTTCTTGGACTGCCAGCCCCCAAGTAACGACGCGAAGACTTACCATTGACTGTGGAAGCTTGGCTTTTAGCTTAGCCTTGTCCCACTCGCTCTCGGAACGTAAATCAACCTGCTTCTGCTAATCCTACATTCTGCCGCTGTGTGTCTGACTTTCTCCGCATCTCACTGGCGTCTCTCGTGCCTAGATTCACCTCTAGTTCCTCTCTCTCCCCGGAAGTCCCTCCCGCCTATTCCCTCCTGCCTAGCTATTGGTCATTTAGCTCTTTATTAAACCAGTCAGAAGGTGCCTTAGGTAGAGACAAATCTTTACAGTGTACAAAAAGATTATCCCCCAGTAGGAGGTTATAACCTTTTTAAACAAAAGTAGGATTGCAAGGTAGTCAGAACAACTTTTTGATACAAAAGACATGGTTGCTGTTTCCTGAAACAGGCGCACAGAACCATTTGTAGTTAAGGTTACAGGTGGGCGTAGCTCAGTCCTTGAGAAACAGATTTAATCATAAACAGAAATGAATCTAATTTGTCTTTACTACAAGATGGCTTTCAAGCCTAAGATGGAGGCAGGCTGCTTCATCCCTTGATGCCATAGCAAATCACCATGAATTCTGTGGCTTAAAACCCATCGGAATTTCTATGGAGGCTCCAGGGGAGAGTGTCCCCCTTACCTTTTCTGGCTCTGTTCCCCAGCGTGGACCTTCTGCCTCTGCCCTCCACGCAAATGCTGCAGCATCTGCATCAGTTTCTCAGAATCCGTCTTCACCTTCATTTTGATTCTGAATTCCTGGCGCCGTTTGTGTAACCCAGACCTCACACGTGCCCAGCAAACACGCCACTCCTAAGCCACACCCCCAAGCACCTGATTACACTGGGCACACCTGAATAACCCAGGATCTACTCTTCCACGCTCCAAACCCTTAATCACAATGACAAAATCCTGGGTTTTTTTTGTTTGTTTTGTAATGGAATGTGACATATTATCAGGTTTTATGGATTTAATTGTGAACATCTGTATCATAAGAATATTTTTTAGGCAAATCACCATTTTGATGACGGAAATATAAACCTGAAAACCTTTTCTACAAAGATCTAGGCAGTACATATTTTAGGGAATGAAGGCCACACAATCTGTTATGACTTAATTCTGCATTGCAACAAAAAAGCAAGCATGGATAATATAAAAATAAAAGAACATGGCTGTGCTCCCCCCAAAAAAAAAATAAACAAAAAAAAGTATTTACAAAAATCAGAAGCAAGCCAAATTAGATCCGTGAGTTCTATCCCCACTCCTACTGAAATAAAAAAAAGTCTGGTGACATTTTGTGAAGAAGGAAAACCAGATGAACTTTAATTGGTTTACAGTTCAGAATTAGTAAACATGTTAGGAAGAGCTTATGGGGATCAGGGCCTAAGAAGCCAGACCACAATTTACCTGCAGTAACAAAGGAAGCAGGCAGGCAATGGTGTTAGCGCCAAGCCAGGAAAGAACCTGTGATCAGAGCTAATCCTTCTGAAGACTCCGAAATCCCTTCACCGTTACCAGCCAACATTGAGTTTCCCAGAGAGGAACAAGTGTGCATTTCCTCCCTGAGCAGAAAGCAGATGTCCCAAAGACGGCTGCTCCCACAGAGGGGAAACCAGGGTCCAGGGGGATGAATCCGAACACGTGGTGGTGTTTATCAGCCATAAAATCGTGTGGCTACTGAGCTGAGCTCCAGGCAGCTCTACCAATACAGTAAACACTTTGCCTGATTGCTTTGGGGAATCAGGTTGTGTGTCCCTGCCAGGTGAAACTGGAAACCACCATTTGTGGGCTGGCCCGTTGTTATAGTAGATTCTCTCACCTCACTGCTTCTTAACAGCTCAGAGCCAAATATCACCGCCACCCCTTCCGTCTCCCACATCTCCCTCTTGGGCATCACAGGCTGCTTTAACTCCTGAGGGACACACCTTGTGGGCACACTGGGTTCTGCAGACTGCAATACCACTGGAACCCTTAGTACTGCCTCCCCGCTCCTAGGCCCAAACAGTTCCAATGCCTCGCTTCTCTGTGGCCCTCAAGTTTATCGCTGCTTACCTATCAGGTGGCTCGGGACTTGTGCCCTTTTGTTCCCCTTTCCTAAAGTAAGGGTGGTACCTGGTGAAGAACCATTGCTGATTCCCATTACTAGGCTGCTAGCGGCACAGCATGAGAAATGAGCAACCCATGCGATTTTTATCCTTTTTCTAGCGGCCCTGGGCCTGACTGCAGCTGTTGCCTCTGGAGCAGCAGAACGAACTCCCTGCTAGTATTTACCACTGGCGTTCCTCGCTGTTCATAGTGGATTTCCAAGGGGCAGTTCAGACTATCCTGACCCTTTGGGGTCAAATAGACTCACTGGCCACCATAGGATTACAAAATCGGAGAGGATTAGATGTACTAACAACAGAGCGAGGTGGTCTTTGTCGTTTCCTAGGCAAGAAATGTTGTTTCTATGTTAACCAATCAGGTTTAGTGAAAGACAAGATCAGCAACTCCAGATCTTCAGAAACTTAAACAGAGTGACCCAGTGGATCACCGGCAGTCAGACGTGGAACTGGATAATGCCCTTAACCCTTCTCTTCTTTTTCTTACTCCTACTAACTGTGCCCTGCCTCATAAACCTGTCTAGATTTCTTCAACAACAGAGCCAAAAGACTTCTAACCAGACCTTCAACCAGCTACAATTGCAGAATTACCAGCCCTAGCTACAGAGCCAGAGACCTGCAGCACCCGGTTACATCCTGACGACCGAGATCAGGATTGCCCCCAAGAACTTCGTATCCCCATTCAATGGGAAGTAGTCTAACCTTTTCCTTTGGGGCTGTAGGTATCCCTTGACTTCCGACTACGGGGACTACCATTCCCTTCAAAACTGTACACTTACGCCCTCGCCATGGGCATGGGAGAGCTGGCTCCTCTTGTCTGAGGGGTGTGGTCCCAGCGGCCAGCGGCCTGGACTGACCAACTCAGTTGCCACTCAGGCACAATCCAGGCAGGGCTCTAATTGGCCCACCCCAGCATCTACCAATAAATGACCTACCTGCTGGAGTCCATGAAGGGCCTGGTCCTGTGGAACCATAGCCCAGCTATTCCCAGTATACAGAACAATCAGCAAGGACATAGGAAGAAGCCAAAAGATCCCTGAAGATAACGGTGGCATTTTGGAGAGATTTCTACTCCTTGGTGTTGTTGGAAGAGGCCACCTGTTTGTTCCCAGCTGCTCAGCCCCGAAATAACCATACAGAAACCATATTATTTGCAATACTGTTTGGCCAATAGCTGAAGCATATTTCTGTCTAACTCATATCTTAAACTGACCCATCTCCATTAATCTGTGTATCACCAAGAGGCTGTGGCTTACAGGATAAAGTTCCGGCATCTGTCTCCAGCAGGGGCTACATGGCTTCTCTTGACTTTGCCTTCTTCCTCCCAGCATTAAGTTCAGTTTTCCCCGCCTACCTCTGTTCTGCCCTGCTATAGGCTCAAGCCAGCTTTCTTTACTGATGAATGGTAATCAGCATACCGAGGGGAATCCCACATCACCTTGGTACTTACCTAAAATTGTAATAGAAATTAATTTGACGAGGTACAGCTTGTGGAGGAATATTAACTGATGACACACAGAACTGAATATTTAAATAAAATAGTTTTATTTATAGTAAATTGCTTTAAAATGTCAGTCATTTAAAGGATGCTAAATAAACAGAACAGGTTGTTCATCTGAGTTCTCTGGTGATAAGAACACAGGGATCAGCCACTTGGTTTGGGAAATGAATGGGGCTGTTGTAGGCTCTCCCCCTCCATCTGCAATGCTTCATGCTGGTACAGTTAGCTCTCAGCAGCTGTAAACTTCCCCTCCACTTTCCCAAGGTCCCCTTGCTTCTCTAAATGCTGTGTGCCTGTAAACTTGTTCTAAGAAGCAAACTAGAGAACTTAGTTATTTAGGATGTCCTTGGGAAGAAAACAAGGATATTTTAAAATTATGGAGCAAGCAAGTTCTTCCTGAGAATCCCAGGGATGAGGTAAAGCAAAAGGTACAAACCAGTTACCTGGCAGTGATCTAGACACTGAGCTGAGGGAGAAAGACAAGGGAGATGATGGTGATGGTGATGATGGTACCCGAGGAAGGGAGCCACAGAGACTAGTGTGTGTCGGGGAGAGACACAAGCACACAGGAACAAACATGAATAGCTGAAATACAGCTTGGTCTGACAGAGCGTTAGAGGTACAGTACTCTATCAATCAACCCTCAAATGTCATTCTTCTGCCACAAAATAATGGGTTGCATCTCATTGAAGGCACGCCAAGTTTAACCAGAAAAGTTCTCTGGGGTCCATAAGGCAATGGGCACAATCGATAGAATCTTTGATTCCCATATACTAATTTGCAGCTATAGGAGCTACACTTTGAGTAAGTTGGAAATATTTCAAAAGCTAACTCTGAAAACTGGCCGCTAAGGATGAACTATGTATGTGAACTAGGTATAATGTACCTGAGCTGTCTGGTATCTACACAGCACTGGAAACCTTGCAGTGTTCTCTAATCTGAGCTACTTTAAGAGGCTAGGGGAGAGCTTTGATCTGGAGATGCAGCTGGTAGCTGCCAGGGCAAGGAGACGGTGGCTACTGTAACTTCATAACCTTCCTCTGAGAACCTCACTAAGCAGTGAGGTGCAGGATAGATTCAAGTCTTCATGATGACATCCTCAGTTGGAAGAACACAATGATCCTCCAGCAGGACACAAAAAGGCATCATGAGATTGGGACAAAGGCAGGCAGGCTTCCAAACCCAGAAATCTTAAGTCTACTCTGCTGCTAATACAGGACACCAACTAAGAAATAAAGCCAAGAGAAACCCATGCCGACTCCTCCGATGAACCTGAGTCTCGAAATAGCTACTCTTGAGATGCCCACATAGAATTCGGATGCCACCAACAGAAGCAGAAGCCCATGCCCATCTCTGCCTTACCATCGAAGCAGGGACTCTCCTTGAGACTTGTAAATCATAAACCAGGGCTTCTCTCTGAAGCTGCCTGAGATACTCAGTTTGGAGAATTTAGTCCCAAAAGGTCGGGGGGGGGGGGATATCCTAGGTGGCTGGCAGAAGCCTTCAAAATTTTTCTTAGGAAGAATTTGGCTTTAATTCCAACCTCAGAGAATATTCCCAAACCAA